CACTGCGGACGAACGCGTACGCGACACGGTGCTGGCACGCGGCGGAGACCGGCTCGCACCGGCGGCAGCGGCGACGCGACGAACGCGGCTCTGACCCGTGGGTGCAGCGGTGAGACGACGCTCGCGGCTTCGAGTGCTTCGGCGTCGCGCGACGCGGAGAACGCTACTCGGAAGACGGCACACAGCCGACCACGCGCAAGCAAGCTTGTCTCAAGCTTGATGCCGACGACGCCACTGAGGCCACTTGATGCCGACGAAAAAACCACGCGAAATCTGCGGCTACCAAACAGATCCTAGTGGCGCTGGTACTGCAACAGCTCCAGAACTTTGCGGTTCCGGCTGGCACAACCTTCAAAGTGTATCTTGAAGACCTGAAGGTGTTAGTCGAAAGTGTTCAGATGGTTGGCTTTGCAGAAGATGGTACACTGCAAGTCGCCGTGAAGGCAGGTGTCACCGATCAGTATGCTACGTTGACCGCACCAGTGTTTCATGGTAGGAACACGCAGGCCTTACCCTATGACTCGCTGGAGAGTCTCATGGAGGCTCTGGATGATATGACCGACAATACTACTACTGCAACGGCTTCCGTGCGTTTGCGAGGAGTAGGGTCCGTCCTGCCACGAGGGCAAGCTGACATGTCGGTTAGCTCCCGAGGTAGATACGGTGGTGGTAGTTCGTTTTCTGGGGCCAAAAGCGGTTCCCTGACCCCGCAAGGTAGTGCGGGTGCGCGTGCGGTCATGACAGTGGCCCAGTATGACGACGAGTCGCGGGAATTCTGGCAGGTTAGTCAGGTGTCGCGCGGGAACAAGGGGTTTGGGCTCAACGATGATGACCCACCCTTCTACGTGCAGTTTACTAATAATCAAGAACGGGACCGAGCTCGGCGAGAGTTCGGCCCAAAGTGTCTTAATTGTGGTGTGGAAGAACCGTTCCACTTGGCGAGAGAATGCCCTGACAAACTCATGAATGTGTCGGGCTTGATCCATCCCGACATTGCCGTTGGTGACCCCGAGACGGTGGAAAAAAATTGGCGCCGTTGGCAACAGAGGTTGTGCTCGTGGGCGGATACCCAACGGAAGAAAAGATTCAACCGTGGGAACCGTAGCAGCGGGTGACATGTCAACAACGACCCGGCCCACTTGTTGATAGCAGAGCGGCCAAAAACGCACATTATGTCCCAAGACGTGCGTGTTGCTTTGGGAAACAGAAAGTTTGGAGTAAACAAAGAACCTCCAACGACCGAAAAGATAGAAAATGAGAGATCCGTGTTGCACGCCACGAATCTTGAGACAAGCGGTAACAACGGTGTTGATGTCGCGGACCTCGAGCACCGAGAGGAAGGACGTAATTACCCCTTTCCAATGTCTGGAGTGCCCACAAAAGCACCAAAGTGCACAACTCCTAGTTCCGATGTGACAACTGTTGAAGTTCC